CTGGCCTGTGGAGGCACAAATGATGTAAAAGAATGACTGGGCTATTGTTGGGGATTCAATTTGGTTGTATAAAACTAAAATGTAATGGAGCTAAAGAAAAAAATGCTTCATTCAGTCCTGAATAAAATCATTTCTTCTTGGATGTGCCACATTTGGTCAAGGGCTAATCTGCTGGGCTTAGGCGCGCTCTTGTCATTCAACATTGTTAGTCTGATTGGCACTGCTTTGTTAAAACTTGGTACAGTATATAACGCTGTTTTCTCTTCTATTCTTGCTCATCTAGGTTTGAGTGTCAATACTCGCTTGGTTTAGAAACATTACAAAATTATAAACAGTAGTCATTATAACCTAATGTTTTAGATTCTTATGCTACATTAATTTTTGACACAAAATGTTAAAAACTGCAAACAGGCTCTTGGTTGTTCATGTACCATTTGGCCTTCACTTTGTGGAAGAATTGAAGGATTATTAAAAACAAATAACACTTAGGTGGCAATAATGAATAAACAGCAATGACTGAAGAATAGATCTATAAAATAGCAAATATAAAGTATGATGGAACTCTTTTTTTCTTTTTTCTTTTTTCTTTTTAAATTGTCTAATGTAAATACATCAACATGCTTAAAATGTAAAACTGCATAAGATATCAAGAGTACTTTTAAATGAATATTTATTTAAAAATATATAGATTTTTTGTTAACTTATTGTGGATATTGTTCATTTAGAAGTCAACGACATGTTCAGCTTACATAAACATTGATGATTACTGACACTTAAAGAAGACAGATGTCAGACTGTAGCGATAAAATTAAAAAATTTAAATAAAATAAAATAAAATGTATGTGTCTGAGTTTATGAAGCAAAAAAATAATATATAAATAAAATGAGCTTTCAGTAAGATTTTGTTTGGCCGCAGTACCAAACATGACCACCAGTTGACATTCAGGTTCCATTGGTGACCGTATGAAGGCACCGTTGTGTATGTTTTGAGAAATATGAACCCTATTTTTTCATACTTTGACAATATTTGTAAAGTAGACATCAAATTCTAAAGTGGTAATGGCAGTTTGGTAGTATTTGATTTTAATTTAACCTCTAAAAATAGTTTGTTTGCTTTTACATCTAGATTGCTGTAGCAAAGTAATGCTTTATAACTCCAACGAGTACTCTTGTGGAAAATTAAAAATTAAATAACTGTTATCCAGATATGGAAACTAAAAATGTATGTTTTATGTTTAGACTATAGAATATTATAGTTTCAAAATTTAACCGCAAATGGTCCCAGGGTTTAAATCGTGATCGTAAATATTTTACTCTACCAACATAACAAAAAACCCCTAAAAATATGTATTCAGATTACCTAAACCTTTCCTACGATATATAGTTTGCATGATTAGTATTTAATTGGAATATAGTGAAATAAACTTATAAGTCAAAATATCAGGAGTTAAAGTTAGCAAGATTCATGCCATCTAATGTCTTTGTAATTTAAAAAAATGTAATATGCATTTTTATTTTAATTTATTTATTGTTATGAAATAATAATAAATAAATAATAAACACCAGGGGTCTCATAAATCTCATAAATGTGGAGTACGCACAAAACTGAGGAGAAAACTTCCATGCAAGAAGATGTGAATAAACTTGAAAAGGAGAAAGTAAACACATTTAACTTAAATATTGACTTAATTGAACCACTTTAAATTAGCATACAAGCCATAATGATTAATTAATACAGTGTTCAGCATATATGAGTACACCCCTCACAAATCTATCTTTTAAATTCCTATTTTTAATAGGAAGCTATACAATATTATATTTGTGGATATACATTAGATTAGTCTGTACCGAAGCCAAATCTGGAGCATATCTAACAAAATAGCTTCTGATAACGGTCCTGATAACTTGTACACCCAAATTTATATGTGTTAGAGAAATAATAAAAAAATAAAAAAATAAAAGATTAAAAACCAAGAGAATAAAAAAATTGAAACATTTGGTTGAAATTTTGTAGTTTTTTTTTCAATATTTTGCTTGAATTTAATTGTTTTATCTTTCAATTTTTAAACATGTTTGGTGACTAAAATACTATTTTAATAAATATATCTGTTTTTAAAATCTGTTTTGTTTAAATGCAACAAAATACATTGCCTATATATACTCAAAAATTGATTTAAAAAAATCAATGGCGTGTACTCAATTATGCTAAGCAGCAATGTAGCTTAAAAATTCATTCTGGCCTACATTTACTTTTAGGAAGGTTTCTACGCAGTTTCATAAATTAGACCCCAGATGTCAATTCTAGTACAACTTTCTAAAGCTAAAAAGTATTTTAATAAAAGAATAATAATAAAAAAGTTCTTAATATGTTATGCAGCTTCTCAAGTAAGGATGCTTACATATTATTACTTTTACTTTTAGTGTGGCTGACATTCAAACAATAAAACAGACACGTAAGAAGATGCTAAAACATATCAAACCATGATAAAAGACTGATGTGGACTTTTTGTCAGTTTTCCAAAACTCACTTATAGTGACTGAAATCTTGGCATGGAGCATAAACAAGATGTTGTAGTGCACAAAGAGTCCTGTAGCAGTCTCTGGTGGAACAGCACAACTAGCCATTGGAAAGGACACAAAGCTGGTGATGATAGTCACCAAGTGTCTGTCAAGAGAAGTCCAGGAACAAAAAAAAAGAAACGAAAGAAGATCTTCTCTTAAGTACAGAATGTCTGTTAATGCAATCGTGCAGCAGTTCTTGCGCATCTCAAACAATGGCACATGCTGTTTGGCAGGAGTCTGACTAAAGAGTCAATAAGACACAGACAAATCCTTGTTTTACGCGGCGATCCTCAGAGTAAGAGTGAGGTAAACCCAGAGATATGTGTGGGTCCAAAGGCCTGCTCTTCATCCTTTGAGCACCGCTAGCACTGGTAAAGTTTTTTTCCCTTTGATTTAAACATGCATAACCTTTTAACGGTCCTTAGGTTGAGTTTGATGGCCAACAGATCTCTCTCACAGATACACACATAAACGAACATGCACACACACACACATACCAGGTAGACCAGACAACCATGATAATAAAACTGGGATATTTAGAAAAAGCACATTTTGGTTTTGTTTCATTTTTAATTAAAAAATGTCTAAAATGACAGAAAATTCATTTGTAAGATTTTTAAAAGAAATTAAAATATCTTTTTGTTACCCTACATCTTAAGTCAAACATCTTAAGTTTACATTAAGCCTTTTTATTTCTCAATGATTTCATGATTTCCATGAAAATTTTAAATGGAAGCCATTTTTTTTTTTCAAATGTTGCTTAATTATAATTGCGTATGCTGGATAAAGCAAAATAAAAAAAATATATAAATGAATAAAATAAAAAAATTAATTAAATTTTTTTAAATTAAATTAAATTAAATTAATTTTTTTTAAATTAAATTAAATTAAATTAAATTAAATTAAATTAAATTAAATTAAATTAAATTAAATTAAATTAAATTAAATTAAATTAAATTAAATTAAATTAAATTAAATTAAATTAAAATGTTTGGATCTCTGGGTCAACTTTTAAATCATAACAACATTATAAACGCTAGCCTGTGACCTAATGTTTGAAATTTTTGTGCAACATTTTTGAAACAAAATGTAAAATCTGCAAGCAAGCACCATTTTTGCCTTCACACTGTGGAAGAATTTAAAGATTATAAAAAATAAGGCAATAATAAATAAGTATCAATTAATAAAAAATAAAAACAGTTGAGAGTTATTCAGTAATACGTTTTCATCTTAACATGAGATGACAAATGCTGCCTTGGAAATAATTGAAAAACAATTACTAAAATTACAAATAACTAGAATTGAAATAATAATAGCAGAAATATAAAAAAGAACGACACAATTACTAAAAGCACATAGCAAAAGAGTAAGGAACTTTATATCACTGTTTATGAAAGTGTCACTCCCCTGCATGGGAGACTGGTGTACTCCCATTGTCTGTTACCAGACACACGTCTCTGTTCTCTATTCGGGGACATAACCAGGATATTTGGACGAATTTTTAGGAGAAAATTCTAAACTTTTTGTCCAGAGCATTAAAACAGGATATACCCAAATGTCAAAAAATGTGTATTCTAAATATTTGTTCCTGTTACAAGCACTTTTACTAGTTCAGACAAGAAACTGTTAACTTTCTGTTTATATGCTAAACTTATAACAGCTCGTTTTAGAAAAAATACAGAAAGCCTGCATTCTGGTCAATGGTTGCGGGAATTATCTTATATTTGGCTATAGAAAATTTTACTTAAATAGTCAAGGGAAAACCTGAAATGTTTTTCAAAATTAGGGATCCCTTTGTAGGTTTCCTGAAGGAAGCTGAAACTTTTTTTTCTTTGTATAACTTGTATCACCTGCCATTGATATACCGTTGTTGTTATATGATGTACCTTTATATTTTATGTGTAAGTACATGCATTTACTTATATGTTTGTATAGATTTTATTATTATTTTGTATGTTTGGTTTTGATTTTAGGTTGTACATGTTAAAAGCTACTAAAGTCAATAACGACAGTGTTAAAAGGGCACATACCCTCTCAGAAATAAAGGTACAAGAGCTGTCACTGGGGTGGTAGGTACCTTTTCAAAAGATAAACATTTGTCCTTAGATGGTACCTCAAAACCTTACATTTGTACCTAAACATTTTAAGAGGAACACTTTTGTACTTTTTAGGTACTAATATGTACCCTTGATGTATTATTAGGAACCCTTTAGGTACAAATGTGTAGCTTTTAAAAAGGTACCATCCCAGTGACAGCTCTCATACCTTTATTTCTAAGAGTGTAGCAAAAATAAAGTTAAAGTAAAAGTCAAAATAAAAAAAATGTAAAAAAATTAAAAACTCTTTCATTAAAAAATATTGGCAACAGGGTGCATAAAACAGTATTTTTGTTACAGTCACACAGCGGGTTTCTAATGCTAGAAAAAGCATTAAAAAATCATATTAATGACATTTTTACTAAAGCAGAAGATCAATTATTCACAAATATGTGGGACATGGCTCATCAAATCAGGGCTATCTGGTCACCCAAACATGCACAAACACACACACACACACACTCACATTCAAGATAATGGTAAAATGTTTATCAAACCACCCTGGCATACTGGTAATGCCCATCCATTTTTTTCAGGCAGAAAGTGGCATGGCAGATCCTCCAGGTGGGCTTTTGATAGCACATGTCCACTGGTAAGAGCAGAACTTATCTTCATGCTCCGGTATTCTATTCCAGACTTCTGTTGCTAAGCTACATGACCCGGAGGATCCAAAGAGGTGCCCGCTGTGCCCCACCGGCCACTGAAATCTTCCAGCCAAATGAGAGCTGATCGGGTCTCGCTAAAGATCAAGCTGTGTGGACGGGCACAACTGTTGACACTGACTGAATATGTCATGACTGAATGCTTGGAGGACAAAAGGGATGGAAAGAGAGACAAGAGGAAAACTGGTTTTGAATGATTTGCCAGGGCTGGGCTGAAACTCAGAGATCTGGGAGACGAGACATGGCTGATCATGCGCCTCAGACTCCTCAAGGATCTTGATCACTTCAGCTGCTCATGCAAACACAATGCATAGCCCTTCATTGCAATATATGATCATGAATGATGGGGATTGAAAGTATAGTTCACCCGGAAATAAAGCACTCAATGTCATGTTAAAAACCCATTTGCTGTTTCATGAGGTCACAGCATTAAATAGAGAACCACTGGAAAATGGATCAATGAGTCATGGATCAATAGAAATTGAGTGAGACCTCGAGAACTGATGTGTGAATCAGATCAAATGGTTCACTGTCAAGAAAAAGAATCAAGTTCAAATCAATCATTCAATCCAGTCAACATGATTACCACTCAATAACAATAGCTATGTTCCTATCCACCTATTATTATGCACATTTTGAACCATCGCACACAATCAGAAGATGCGCATAAAGTTTGAAAATGCGCATAAAAAATTAGCAAAAACGTTGACGGAAACACATTTACTGAACACATTCTAGCATGTGCATCAAAAAAAGTCATGTGATTTGGTTTTAACAGATGTGATATGTACGATGGGACATGATATTTTGTTTTGAGCTTAAGCCTAATTCGCATCTTTGGATGAAAATGTAAATTTCAGTGTGTTTTTCACTGAAGCTATTATATAGATTCAAAACAAATGTGATATACTGTGCTTAATTGACAAAATTGTATTATGCTTTATTGGCATGGTCAGTACCTGCTGAGAAGCTTGATCAAATATGTACTCAATATGTACTCAAGCTTGATATGTACTCAATACCAGCTATGAATGTTCATCTTAATTTTTTTGATCCATGAAAACAAGAGGGTTTATAATGACATGACAGTGAGTAAATAATGACAGAACTGTCATTGTTCAGGTGAACCATCCCTTTACTGTAGTAAACTATAAGGGCTAAAGGCATTGTGGGTGAATGAGTAACCCAAGCAGAGAGTGTGAAACAGTGGGATGCAGGTGTTTGGATTCTGATCAGATGTTGGTTAAAGGGGTGCAGGTGATCACACGCACAGTCAGCGTCCCTGGAAGGTTGTTGTCCTGCCGACTGCCCTTGTCTTTAAGGTAGACCGTGTGCTGCTCTTGGCGATCATTTGGGTCACTAAAGAGGGTCACCTGACCCAGGAAGGTGTCAACAATCACATTCTTATTGTAGATCTGAGTGGGTCACGGAGCAGTTGGAAGGGTTAAGTGGGAAATAAGAGAAGAGAAGCAGAAATAATGTGAGAGGAACAGAGCAGCACAGGGAAGGAGATCTGTAGCAGTTGATGAGAAGGACTGAAGGAGGAAGAGATGTAATTACATACTTCCAACTCACCTCGATGTGAATGCCTTCCTTTGGCTTTTTGCGGTAGAATATTCCCTTGATGTCAAAATTAGGGCAGCGTGTGTCTTTGTGCACAGGAGAGCGGACCTTCTCCCCCTCACAGGTGATGATCACATACGGGTCAGAGGCTGAGAAAAAGAGTCATGAGTCAGCAAAACACTACATATGACAAAATATTATACTATTATACTATTTCCCAATGTTTTCCTAATTATGACCTTTAACAAGACGCAAATCTGCACCACAAGCAGCAAGCTAAACTGCAAATTTCAATCCTTTCTAACATTTTACCCACTATGAAGGGGTTTGCCCATGTGGCGCTACACTGGCGTGGCCCATGTGAGGCCCAAATGTGTTTACCAACTCTGAAGCCATTTACTGATCACCTACTTGTCACCCACACAAGCAACCTATATGGCATCGACTGTGTTTTTCCTTGTTTAACCTATGTGTTTAACCCAAGTAGGACCCTTGTGTGTTGCACATATTGAGTGCTTTCCCCATGTGGAGCCTCCCTGGGGCCCATCTGGATTTGCCATTTGGCATACCCACCTGGGGCTCTATATGGTATATGGTCTACCCATGTTTAACCTATTTTAATAGGTTGTATGTTGCCCATGTTAAGTGTGTTTCCTACTTGGGGCCGCATGGGGCCCATCCGGGGTTGCCCACATAGGGCCCACTTAGGGCCTTATATGGCATTGATTGTGCTTATTAAGTTTGTTGCCCATGTGGAGCCCACCTGGATATTTCCAGAGAATTATATAAGCTAAAATAAATATGTATAAAGGAACAGTAAAAGTGCAGAGAAAGACCTTTTAGCAAGATGTAGAACTGATGTTTTTTCTGAATATTTCCACCAGCAAGGAGCAGTGAATGAGTATGTTCTGGAAATTAATCATTTGTATCTCTATTTGATGAAAGCACAAGACCAATATCTAAATCCAGAATCAATTATCAGTTAATAACAATTAACAATCAATTCTATTAATTTAAATATGTAATAAATAAAAAAATTGACATTAGAAAAAAACAGGACAAAAATCATGTTCAGTTTTCTTTGAACAAAAAAACAAAATAAATTTTAATGCCAAAGCCAAAGCTTTTTTCGCTATTGAGCACAACAATAAAAGTAAACAAGAGACAGTAATGTTGCAGATTAAGGAACAATTCACATTAAACATATAAAATGCTCACATTTCTATAAGGCAAAACGAGACAGACACTTACAGCAACTAAAAGTCATTACCTCGTGTGCAAAAGTCAGAGTGAGTCTTGTGGGAGATCAAGCAGTGCAGCTCTGTGTGCGGTCAAAAGAGATTTCCATATGTAAAAGCTTCAGACAGATTAAGAGTCTGAACTCTGACTCTCTGAATTTTTCTTAAAGGAGTAAGTCACCCATAAATAATTTACTGTATCCAACTGTGACAAAAATAGTCACATTTTTGGGTGAACTATCCTTACAACGTGACTACAGATTAGCCTGTAGCACTGGTTTCAAGGGAAAATCTATAAGAACAATCTATGAATATACAGTATGAGCAGTTATAAATACATTGGTATCAATGGAATCCAAGTTTTTTCATTTATTTAATATATTTAGATATTTATTTTATGGTACATACACTAATACAATATGTGGATCAAAAAGGAATTTTCTAAAAATAAAGTAAATAATAACAACTTTCAGACATTTTTGATCATAATTTACAGAAGACACAAGCTAAAATCTAAATTTAGTGTATCAACAGTTTATAACCCAAAAAATCTTGTCATACATATTTTAAACAATAATAATTTGATGACATATAAACAGCCCCCAAAATCTTTTTTTTATAATTTGCTGCATCTTTAAAGAGCTAGTGTTTACACATTTGTCAGCAAACATTTTTTAATCATTTAAAATACTGCACAATTTAGAATAATTGTTGTTCAATTTTACACATATACACATATACAAACATACACATACTGTACATTTATTTTACACTGAACAACAAAGGGATGTTTTTCACCCCTATTTTGATGTTTTATTGCTCTAATTGTCTGAATAGTCACCTTACTTACATTTGAACAGTGTGCATTAAAGATCACTCCTTTAAATTGAACTTGTTAAAGACACAAAATTAGCTTGTCTTTTCTTTGACCCACACTGTATACAGTTGAACTCTGAATTATAAGCCCCCCTTTATATATTTCCCCAATTTCTTTTTAATGAAAAGAAGATTTTTTTCAACACATTTCTAAATATCATACTATTAATAACTAATTTCTAAAAACTGATTTCTTTTATCTTTGCCATGTTAACTACATAATATTTAACTACAGATTTTTCAAGATACTGGTATTCAGCTTTAAGTCAAAGACTTAACTAGGCTAATAAGGGTAACTAGGCAAGTTAGTAGTACGATGATTTGCCTAATTTTACATCGTCATGTACAACTACGAACTGATTTGGCAGGCAAATCAGTTAGTAGTTGAACAATTAGGCAAATCATTGTACAAACCCGATTCCAAAATAGTTGAGACACTGTACAAATTGTTGAGGCGGAAGTTCCAAACTTCAACAGCTTCTGAACTGAGCGCTGATAACAACTTGGGTTGTCCTTGTCCTCTTTATAGTCGGGATGACATGGCTTCCCAGTTTTCTAAAAAGAACTTTAAATTTTGATTAGTCTAACCCCAGAACATTTTTCAATTTGCCAAAGTCCATTTTAAATGAGCCTTGGACCAGAGAAAACGCCTGCATGGTGGACTGTGAAAATGGCACGGTGGATTGTGTTCAACGACAATGTTTTCTGGAAGTACACCTGAGCCCATATTGTGATTTCCATTTATAGTAGCATTCCTGTTTGTGATGCAGTGCAGTCTTAGGGCTTGAAGATCACGGGCATCCAGTATAGTTTTCCGGCCTTGACCCTTTTGCACAGAGATGGTTCCAGAATCTCTGAATCTTTGGATGATATTATGCACTGTAGATGGTGATAACTTAAAACTCTTTGCAATTTTTCGATGAGAAACTTCTTTCTGATATTGCTCTACTATTTTTTTGCGTCACATTGGGCAAACTGGTCATCCTCCTCCAGCTGTTCCAAATGTACATTTGACTTTTCTAGCCTGTTATTGATACCTGTCCCAACTTTTTTGGAATGCGTAGTTGTCTTGAAATCAAAAATGAGCCAACATTTGTCCCGAAATGTTTTAATTTCTCACTTTCATCAATCATTAATTTTTTTTTTTTTACTTAGTCATTTAATAATCTAGGGTCGCCACAGCGGGATGAACCACTAACTTATCCAGCATATGTTTTACGCAGTGGATACCCTTCCAACTGCAACCCATCACTGGGAAACATCCATACACTTTCATTCACACATATACACTACGGACAATTTAGCTTACCTAATTCACCTATACCACACGTCTTTGGATTTGTGGGGGAAACCGGAGCACAACCATGCGAACATGGAGAGAACATGCAAACTCCACACAGAAATGCCAACTGACCTAGCTGAGGCTCGAATCAGCAAGCTTCTTGCTGTGAAGCGATCGTGCTACTCACTGCGCCACCATGATGCCCTACTTTTAACATTTGATATGTTCTCTATATTCTGTTGTAAATAAAATATAAGTTTATGAGATTTGTAAATTATTGCATTCCTTTTTTATTAGAATTTTGTTTTATTTGGTTTGTACTGTACATAATTGAAAAAATAAATATTGCTTAAGGGGGCTAATTTTATATATAAAGACTTTCTCCAGAAAAAAAAATATTATAGTAAATATTATGAAAAATTCCTTTAGTGGGCTTTTATTGTTACCAGAAATACTATTCATACCTCCATTGGCGTCTTGGCCCTGCAGGCCCTCGGCACTTAACACATGCACCTGTGTGACCAGCTGAGGGTATCCACACATCCCAGTCCAGCATGTCTGTGGAGGCTCATCCAAAGTTAATTCTCTAAGGAAATAAAGTCAGGAATAAGGTCAGCCTTTCGAACGAAGCACCCAGCATGCCTAACGTGTTTTTATTATTACTTGCAGTCTGAAGGCACATCAGTGAAGACTCTGAGCAGGAACTCTCCTTGCTGACCGGGGTCAAATGTTGTGGGGATGATGACGTAACGGCCCTCCTTTAGCTCTTTCCGGAGGAAAACGCAGCGAGAGTTGATGTAGATGGACCCTGCGACCTTCTGCTGCGCCGAGTGCATTCTGTACTTTCTGTTCAACTCCACCTGGTGGTACCAAAGAGGCTTGGTCAAAATAGGGCAAAAATACAATAGTATCTGGATGCAGCCTCGATAATGCAAGTTGAGACTGCATATCTCACTGACGCAATTGTGACTTTTATTTTATGATTAACATGTTATATCTCACCATTCTGTCTTTAATATAAAAAAGTCTGAGTTTATATCTTATAATTTGGACTGTTATCTCAAAGTTGAGCAATGAATAAATAAATAAATATTAATTGTTTTATAAATTTCAATAAATAAATAAATAAATAGCTGTCTTGCAATTGTGAATTTTATTTTATAATTTACATTTTATATTTCACAATTCTGACTTTTATTTAACAACTTCTGAGTTTATGTCCCATAATGTTGACATTTACATTATTGCAAGTTTAAGCAATAAATGAATAAATATTATTCATTTTATATATCTTAATAAATAAATAAATAGCTGTCTTACAATTCTGACGTTTTATTTCATAATTTCACATTGTATATCTCAAAATTCTGACTTTTATATAAAAATTTTGAGCTTTTGTCTCATAATTTTGACTTTTATCTCAAAGTTAAGGCAATAAATGGATAAATAAATATAAATCTTTTTTTTATTTATTTTAACAAACAAATAAATAGCCGTGTCTCGCAACCCTGTTTCTATTTTAAAATGTACAATTTATGTAATCACAATTCTGACTTTTTTTTCCACCGAATTGCAAGTTTGTTGACTTTTTGAAATGCTGAGTTTATATCTCAAAGATTATGACTATTTGTCTCAGAATTGTGAGTTTATAGGCTCTCTCACAATTCTGAGGTCATTTCCTGAGTTATCTGGATTTTATTTTCATGCAATTTGGAGTTCATAAAAATTTATGTAGTGTATATAGTGTATATATACTCTCTCTCGTAATTTTGACTTCATAAACTGCAATTCTTACTTTTTTCTCAGAGATTATGAATCTAAATTAATTCATTCTGATTTGTAAGTTGTTTATATTTTGCTTTTGTAAGTTCATTCTAAAAAAAAGTCTTAAATGAAAAATCATAAGTACATTTTATTCTATATCAGAAACAAGATGTCATACAATTTTATACCATACATATTTTAGCATTCAAATGTGAAGCTTTGTAATATGATATTTCCGTGTGCATGTAATTCTGTACCCTATGGATATCAAATCCAATGGCCAGATTCTCTCCTTTGCCCTCCTTTGGAGTAGCTCTGCGTTCCTTTTGCTGCAGGCAGATCAGCACCTCATCTTCCACTTTTCTTACATCAAAAACATACTGTCGACAGAAACACGTGTTAAACTCATTCCAGTGAAGCCCCAGAGCTTTAAATGCCTCCAGGACAACAATTGCATTTGACAAGGCAGATGCGCACAGAATCACTGACCGACCTGTGGGTTTTGCAGAAATGTGGTTTTGTGGTTAATGCAGCCTCCGGCACGGTTGCGGAGCGGTTCATCTCGGTGAAGCCACAAGCCCCTCATCACCTCCTCCTCCCAGGTCTTATGTATGCTTAAGTAGGACGTGTTGATGAGTCGACACAGGATCAGGTCCGTGAAGTAGTGACAGAAATCCTCAAAGTTCATCCTGGTGGTGCAGTTCATAGCCAGATGTTTGGTAATAGGTGAATTTAGTTGTTCATTAGATGCAGTCTATAAAACCTACACATGGTTCCTTAAAAAATTCTAATAAAACCTGATTTTGAAAAGTTTGTAAGGAACAAAAGGGTAATATACCAAATTGATTCAAGACACTCTTAAGTTATTTTCCTAATTTAAACACTTTCTGAACAATTTTAGGAGCCCCTCAATTGCATTATAAAAGGTCACATTTTGGTTTTGCGGGTCTCCAACAACCTGCTGATATGCATGCAAGTTCAAAAAACACTTTCATTGTCTTATAATATGCATTTATTTTTACCTAATTATCCCAATGAGTCCCATATGGTTTGTTTAGCGATTTATTTGTTCCCAAACCTGAAGCTAATCCCGAAGCTTATCTGTATTGATTGGCCCAATGACCCAGTCTGTTGTGATTGGTCGACTGAGTTTAGCGAGACATGGAGAGAAACACATTTTTAGCAAGGTTTTGAATGTAATATGTGAATAGCTCCATACAGATTTAACCTGAGAGATACATTACAAGCACTGATCTATATTAGATAAGTGTTTCAAGCCATGCAAAGCGATTACAAGTTACAACACAATTAAATACATATTTTGCAAACTATAATTTTCCAAATTAAATTTTTAATTTTCCAATGTCCTTTATCGACGTCGACCCGTTTAGGGAAACGAATAAAGGACGAATAATTCATCTGATTCTGAGTCGACTCAGAAAATTCACTAGTTTTAAACAGTTCAGATTTTCAGATTTAAACCTCTGCTGGATGTTTCCATTCACTTAGAGCTGTGTTACACACTGCATAGATGGTAATTTTCAAAAACCCATAATAAGAGCTCTTTAATATCCTATACACATTTACTTTATTAAAATAGATTCATGTTAATTTCTGCATATACAGTACAGATAAAATAGTTGTCATTACAGGGTGTTTCAAATTAACATTAATGCATTAACATTCACAATGGTATATTTCTTGACTGACAACTGTAAAAAATGCTTAATGTTGTAAAAAAATGGATGATTGTAAGAATATGTGATATTGGTCATGCTTTACAATATGGTTTCATTAGTTAATGTTAGGTACTGTATGAACAATCCTGTACACCATTTATTAATCATAGTCCAACATGTACTAATGCATTATTAAAATCCATAGTTAAGGAAAATAACTTCAAAAAATGTAATACATTACAATATTGAATTACTCTTCTAAAAAGTAACATTACTCAGTTACTTTTATGGTAAGCAATGCATTATGTTACTTTTGAGTTACTTTTGCATGAGGTGTTTTTTCTTACCTGGCTGAGGTTTGATCTCTTTCAGAACTTGAGGGTGTTTTTTTTTTTTTTTTTTTTTTTTAAATAGAGTAGCTCAGCAATTTACAACACACTGTATAACCTACACTGAAAGCAATTTATTTGTGTTGAATTTAAACAAGCACATTAAATTTGATAATATTCAACCTAATTTGTTTAGTTAAATTCAGCCCAAATAAATTGTTTACAACCACTTAACATAACAAATTAGTAAATCCAAGGAATCAACTTTACATATTTTCAGTGTACATCTTTATTTGCCTTAAAAAAAATCTAAAACTACTAATGTTATCTCCTGAGAATTCCTGACCCAAGAGCTCTATATATAGAGACTAATAATAGTTTAAAGCAATGCGTTTGATGCTTTTGTGCTTTTTGTCTTAGAGTTCAAAATGATGAACGCATTTTTTCATCTCAATTCTATTTCACTAATTTACTTTTTAAAAGTTAATTAATTAAACAAAAAATTAACTTGTGTTAAATTTTTTTTAAAAGAGTAACTCAAACATTATTACTTAATTTTTAAAGTAATGCGTTACTTTAATCATTACCTGGCAAAGTAATATTATTACACACAATAACTCATGTTACTTGTAATGTGTTAAAATTAGTGAGTTAATGTGAGCTAACAATTAACAACTTAATGTCCATTAACTAATGCTACAAAGGATTAATAAATACTGAAATAAATATATTTGTATTGTTTGTGAGTGTTAGTAAATTAATGAAATACATTAACTAACATTAAAAAATGGAACCCCATTGTAAAGTAAATGCGTTTCATTTATTGTGTCAGTATAATATAATATAATATAATATAATATAAAATAAAATAATATAATATAATATAACATAACATAACATAACATAATATAATATAATATAATATAATATAATATAATATAATATAATATAATATAATATAATATAATATAATATAATATAATATAATATACAATGAACTCTAATATCAGCCAAATGCTTTAAATTTATTAACATAAGAAATGCAAAAGCATTAGATAATTAGCAAAAGATAATAATTTTTACCAGTGAAAGTAAGAGATATGTCAGTGTTTCACTCATATGTGTTGCTTTTGCTCTTTTTTAGCAAGTCACGTTAGATGAAAGCAAAATGCTGTTAAACGCATAAATATAAATGAGCAAACCTCACCAAAACTCTCCATCATCCTGAACAGTGACGCCCAGCTTCTCTCTCTCACTCTTGCTCACTTTCTTCCACTCTTCTGAGCTACAAAATAAACCAGCGATTACCCAGATATATCAAAACTAAACACATATCCATTATAAACACACACACACACACACACACACCCACACCCACCCACCCACACCCACACACACACACACACACACACACACACACACACACACACACACACACACACACACACACACACACACACACACACACAGCACTGAACAAGCTAACACTACACACTAGCCCTTTTTTTCCAGTGCACTGTGAAAGAAACAAAACACTTAGCCAAGTCTGATATTTCTAATCAAGCCCTGAATAAATAATTCATCAAGCAGAAATATGAAGAAAGACTGCTTTCACCTCAAAAAGACTCTTCCGGCTGGCCAGTAAATAATTCAGAGGCTAATATAATCCTGTTGTAGTATTTGAGCAAAGAATGATGGAAAGGATTGCTCAGATTTTCCTCTCTCAAATGACTGGACCCGGCTTTAATATGAAGCCGGTGGATATTTAAGGGTAGGTGTCACCAAACAAGAGCACGGTTATTTAAACGAAAGGAGGTGGATGTCTAAACACCCTCAGACCTCTCTGTTTCAATCACAGCTTCTGCTTATTTTATTCCAGCCTTGCCTGGCTTGATTTCTCAATTTCACGCCAGCAAGCGATAAGAATAGACACTTCGCTTATGTGTTATTTATACTGAAAGTATCTCAAGAGCAGTGAGAGAAATGCTTTGCTCTAGTCTCTGAGGAGGTACAGTACTGAAATACCCTATTGATGCAAAAATTGACAAATCATTTCTGCTCAGTAGAGAATATGTATAAATAAGTGTTGAGAAGACGTGTCTGATTACAGTGCCTGCCATGACATACAGTATACTGTAGCTAGTATATTGACACACTTAGCTTTGGTGCTTATAAGAGGAATTTGGGATTGTGTATCGCTTTCAAATTGGTTTTTGTTCACACTGGGAGTCCAGGTTGATTTGATTTCAGCTCAACCTGCATAATACTGCCTTGTTTGTGAAACAAATCTAAGCTTATTTCATCATCCACAACATCGTCTGATGTGTTTACATTTTACTTAGTGTGAGAAAGTAAGACTAAAATTCACAGAAAATTCAGCCAGGGTAAATATGACTACTAAAATGTGACTTGAATATGATTTAAAACCATAATCAATAAATCATATATATGAATGTAATTTGCACTGTGTTCAATTTGGATGACATTTTTGCAAAATGTAAAATACGTTACTCTACTGTAGCTATATTTCATTGCATGTTTCAAATGACAAATCTACTAGAGGGTGCTGTCTATATTTTTTTGGGAATTTGAAATATGCTACTTAGTGTACAGACGTCCTTCTTGTATAAATTCATGAGAACAGTGGTCCTCAACCATCAGTACCAGTCTGTAGATCAATTGGTACTAGGCCGCCAAAGAAATTATTAATTATTTCCGTTTTATTTTATTACCCGAGTCTGAACGATCTTTCATTTTGAAAAGTCTTTTATTTTGAAAATGACCATACGCTCTTGCTTACATCTTAGTCACTTGAGCGCCCAAATTTAACCCACAAGCAGCAAAACGAATAAGAAACAGATGTCTTTGGAAAGTTTCTTTGGTAATGAGAAAATGCCCAGTGAGGGACTGCCAAGGAATGGATTCGCAACACATTTGTCAACAAATTAGGTGAAGCCACCTTGCCTGTGCAAGAAGATCAACTTCTGGAGATTGCAAATGATGGCGGCATTTTAGGGACCGTTCTCATATTGGTCTTTTCCAGATTTTGCGCAAGTTTGTTTTTTCCAATGGAGGTGTGTGGCTTGCATGCACAAGCGGCATGAATATGAAGGTAAATCAGTTGCGAAACTCGAGAGCTTGCAAATGTAAATGTGAGCACTTGTGATAATAATATTTGTATGTGTAGGTTGAAATGTACACTCACAGCTCTGATGTGAACAGCTGAAATCCTCGATTTGCACACACACACAACAATCCACACACTTGTGTTTTAAATTCGAAGTTGCAGATTAATAGTTGTGTATTTGTAAAATGTCATTCACAAATACAAAGTGACAGACACACGTGTGCACGGCAAATTTGACTGCATCTTCGCTCTACAACCACAGGTCGGCACTCACAACCTCTCAGATTCATCAGTACAACTACAAATCTCCCGCGCTCTGACTTTTGCTACACATCTCCCGCGATCTCTGTAGCAGAACTCATCTGTGCACTCGCAGATGCAGAGGCGTGAGCAGCGCGGGGCGGGGGAGGGGCGGGGCAGGTGTAAAGCTGTTTGATTGGCTGATGCCTGACCAATGAACAATGCCAGCAGCCAACAGGACTGAGTTGCAAAATAATCATTTCCCACGATTATTTTATTATTTAGGGTTTATTTAAACTCTTTTCTGAAGAGATTCTTGTTAAAAATCATAAATTCTGTGGAAATGTACATACCAGTAAAAGAGCAGCAAAGCCAGTTTATTGGCTAGAGCCAGCCAATGAGATGGGGCGTTTCTGTTTGTCAGCACACAGGGCAGCTCACGTTGTTGGAGGCCTCGAGCAATCAGAGGGTAAGTTATGATTTTTTAATAATTATCTATATGTTCAATACTGTTAGCTAAGCTAAGGACTGTGCTGGGTGCTTCTCTTGTTTGTTTCTTATATGAGAAAACAGTTATGAGCTATCTAGGAGCTGCTTTCAATCATGTTATATGGTTTTAGAGATACGATTCAACCCACATGAAATGAGAAGTTGTAATAGCATTTATAGTAAACAATATTACGTTTTTGAACCATACTAACTATAATAAACTGTATTATACTGTTTATATTGCAGTATCTACAACTTTGTTAATGAATGCAACAGCACACTGTAGTATTAACTAGCATGAATTTTAATAAATTGAAGTATATTTACACACACACACACACATTAATAGCAATTAAAAATAACACTAGGCGTTTCAGTTTCTTACCGATCATACCGGTTTTTGTTATTATAACCTGCATCATATCGTCTATCCATCTATTTACATATTTGTGTACAGTGTGTCCTTTATATCACTTTTTTAATTATGAACGTTACTAACTATAGGTTATTTCTCAGTTTCCTGTAAGGATGGAGTGACAGGAGAGATCAGCATGTTTGAAGTCGATGAGGAACTCAGAGAAGCTGCATAGCTTGAATAGGATGTTATTTATGCTAAAGATGACATGAGGATCCAGCTCATCTACAAACACTTCAAAATGATTCAGATCATTCAAGAGGAAGCCGACTTTATTTTCTCTTTTTACTTGCCAAGATGACTACAGATTTGAACAAAACACACACTCACCCACAAACACAACTTTTATTTTGATAATTGTTTAATGTAGTTTTTTTACACTTTACTGTAAGGTAGGGGTGTCAAACTCAGTTCCTGAAGGGCCGTAACCCTGCACGTTTTTAGTTGCAACCCTGCTTCAACACACTTAAGTGAAAGTTTCAAACAAACCTGAAGGACTCAATTAGTTTGATCAGGTGTGTTTAATTAGGGTTAGAACTAAACTTTGCAAAGCTGCAGCCCTCCAGGAACTGAGTTTGACACCTGTTCTGTAAGGGAATGTAATTTGTCAAATAAAATTTACAGTCCAAATAAGTGTAGCGCAAATGTCTAGTTACTTGTATTGAAATATTTCAGGGTTTTTCCTTGTTCATAATGAGATGGAGGTGGTAAATCCCACTTCATCATTACCCATCAAATATTATCTCCTCTTTAATACTTTGCTCAAGCCTTTACTAATGGTCAGAAAGCAAGCCATTGTGTAAAGCTGGTTGATGCTCGCTGTAATAGAGAGAGATGATGACTGTTTAGCTTATATTGCTTAACCCTGCAGATGAGATGCTCAAAGTGGACCCTCAGCCGAGCGATGGACACTGTCTCCCTCACCTAGTTGCTCTTCCTTTGAACACACATATCATGTTGAAGGATGCAAGTTGTGGACCTAAATCAGATGTAATGCATGTAGATGTATAAATTAGAAAGAAATGAAACTGCTTTAAAATGTATTAGGTTTTACATATAAATATGTGTTCTTAACAGATTTGTTTCAACTTGATATTTGCATAATAAATGGCATTAGAATGTTTAGTTTTAAACATAGCTATATTTCAATTTTTTCAAATTTAAGCTATATATATATATATATATATATATATATATATATATATATATATATATATATATATATATATATGTATACTTCAATTTATTAAAATTCATGCTAGTTAATACTACAGTGTGCTGTTGCATTCATTAACAAAGTTGTAGATACTGCAATATATACAGTATAATACAGTTTATTATAGTTAGTATGGTTCAAAAACGTAATATTGTTTACTATAAATGTTATTTCATGTGGGTTGAATCGTATCTTTAGAACCATATAACATGATTGAAAGCAGCTCCTAGATAACTCATAACTGTTTCTTATATAAAAACAAACAAACAAGAGAAGCACCCAGCACAGTCCTTAGCTTAGCTAACAGTATTGAACATATAGATAATTATTAAAAAATCATAACTTACCCTCTGATTGCTCGAGGCCTCCAACAATGTGAGCTGCCCTGTGTGCTGACAAACAGAAACGCCCCATCTCATTGGCTGGCTCTAGCCAATAAACTGGCTTTGCTGCTCTTTTACTGGTATGTACATTTCCACAGAATTTATGATTTTTAACAAGAATCTCTTCAGAAAAGAGTTTAAATAAACCCTAAATAATAAAATAATCGTGGGAAATGATTATTTTGCACCTCAGTCCTGTTGGCTGCTGGCATTGTTCATTGGTCAGGCTTCAGCCAATGAAACAGCTTTACACCTGCCCCGCCCCTCCCCCGCCCCGCGCTGCTCACGCCTCTGCATTTGCAAGTGCTCAGATGAGTTCTGCTACAGAGATCGCGGGAGATGTGTAGCAAAAGTCAGAGCGCGGGAGATTTGTAATTGTACTGACGAATCTGAGAGGTTGTGAGTGCCGACCTGTGGTTGTAGAGCAAAGATGCATTTAAATTTGCCGTGCACACGTGTGTCTGTCACTTTGTATTTGTGAATGACATTTTACAAATACACAACTATTAATCTGCAACTTCGAATTTAAAACACAAGTGTGTGGATTGTTGTGTGTGTGTGCAAATCGAGGATTTCAGCTGTTCACATCAGAGCTGTGAGTGTACATTTCAACCTACACATACAAATATTATTATCACAAGTGCTCACATTTACATTTGCAAGCTCTCAAGTATTGCTACTGATTTACTTTCATACATGAAGAGTTGTACCACTGCATTAGAAGGTGGGGTTTGTTGTGCAGATCACCTGGAGCAGTAGTTCTCAAACTTTTTACATCAAGTACAACCTCAGAAAAGAATGGTCTTTCCAAGTACCACCATAATGAGCAGTATTGAAATACATAAGCGTAGTAGGCCCAGTGAAACAGCTACAGCACTGCACAGTTAAAAAATGAGGCAGATTAATAATTATAAAAAATATCTATTATTGTCAGCCATTTTAAACATTATAAATAGTTAGAACATTAACACTGCACTGTGTTATATGTAAAAAATACAAACAAACAGACAAACAAACAAATAAAAATAAAATGTTTAAATTAAAATTTAAAAGTTCAAAATGAAAGGTTACTGTTCTTAAACAGTAAAAAAAAAAAAAAAAAAAAAAATTCTGCAATTAAATGCAAAGTATTAATGTTGCCTGGACCTTAGAAATATAGGCCATTTGTCATCATATGCATATATAAATCATTTTTGATAAGTTTTGAAATATATGTAGCATGTACATATGATATATTTTATTTCTCCGCGTACCACTAGAAGGAAGCCTGCGTACCACTAGTGGTACATGTACCACAGTTTGAGAACCACTGACCTAGAGAGAACAAGAAACAGAACTCTTCTCTAAATCTAACTAACAGTGTTTTTAAAAGCAAACATAAGAGAAAAGTGTCTGCAACCACATTTTTTATCTTTATTTTACATTGTTTTTGTGGATTCTTTAATTAGACTTAAACTTGAGCTCTCGGCATCACAGTACAACAATGAACAAAGTGAGCTACCAAGCAAACTGATCATGCCAGAACAGTTGTCCGTATGGTGATAGACAATCATAATCGATAACAATTCATAGACACTGTTAAATTGTGTTATGGTATTTATTTTGTGTTATGCAATGAATTGTAGGAAAAAGTCCTTTATTATTTAATCATTCATTTTCCTTTGGCTCAGCCCCTTATTTATCAAGGAACACCACAGAGGAATGAACTGCCAGCGATTCTGGCATTTGTTTTATGCAATGGATCCCCCTCCAGCCGCAAACCCAATACAGGGAAATTCTTTATTATATTAGTCATAATTATCATTAGTGTGAAAAGGAACAAAGGTTGTTGGTGTCACGCTGCCCCATACTGTTTCTTTTTACAGAGAAACTTTAAAACTATGTATTTTAAAGTAAGGTTTTGCAGTTTTAAAAAAAATGCAGGCTGAAGAATGCATCTACAATGAACCTGTGTTGAAAAAAGTACGAACACTGAACAATGATTATTCTTTATGGAGCATGCTCTAGATCAGGGGTTCCCAAACTTTTTTGCTTGCGACCCCCAAAAAAACAACGCTAGTGACTCGCGACCCCCAATATCCTCTGAGGTGATTATATATACAGAAACCTTGCATGCAATAGCGCACACACACCAATAGACCAGAGCTGTATCTGAAATCAGAGCTGTAAATGTGCCAGAAAGTTTAACCTGATGTTATAAAATCAATCTGCTGCATCTGACGCCATTGGTGTGTCTTTAAAATTATGTAATTACACCAGGGGTCGCAATCCAATAGAACTAGTAACTATAAGCTACTGTAGTAACTATATAGTATATATTAACTATAAACAACAATTTTTCTCTTCAGTAGTTTATTGATAAAATATGGTAATTCTTATGGTTTAATATAAATAAATAGATTTTTGGAAATCACCAGGCGACCCCCCTTCATTGTCTTGCGACCCCTTCGGGGGTCCCGACCCCCACTTTGAGAACCACTGCTCTAGATCACAGGTGTCAAATCCAGTTCCTGGAGAGCTACAGCTCTGCACAATTTAGTTTCAACCCTAATTAAACACACCTGATCAAACTAATTGAGTCCATCAGTTCCATTTGAAACCTCCAGGTAAGTGTGTTGAAGTAGGGTTGGAACTAAACTGTGCAGAGCTGCGGCACTCCAGGAACTGGATTTGACACTTGTGCTCTAGATGCTCTCTGATCTCCAGGCCAGTAGAGGTCATTCTCACCTGTCACTCCATGGTCCACTCCACTCCTTCTCACCCCAGGGGTTCCTCATGCGGATCATGTGCAGCTTTTCAGACTTAAAATAAGCCAGTAGGCCATGTCCCAGACGGACCTTGCGTACGTCGGTCACTGCGTAAGCATGGCCTTTCACTAATCCACAGTCCAGTCGTGCTTCCATGTCCTCTACTGTGGTTGCCTGCATACCAAATGTAAAGCTTGATTTAGATTCTGATAACAAAATTTAAAGAGGTCATGAACCTAGAATCCAAATCAACAAAATCATTGTACTATAAAAACATCAAGTTTCAGTATTCTAAAGTTTCTCGTTAGGACCAAAAAAACAGGTTGAGGAATGTTAATTATGAAAGGGTGCTTTTGGTTCATTTGGTTCAGACCAAGGGTTTTTGGGTCCTTTTCCCACCACACTGATTGCTCTGGTCCGGACCAGTTAAAAAGAACCAAAAGGCAGTCATGTGACAATATCACTCATTGGCCAGATGTTATTGAACATATTTCCTAAACCGATTTTCGATTGGTCAGAATTAGTGTGCAGGAAAATGCCAGTGGAACTCCAATTTCACTTTTTACTATGGAGGGATGACTGTGCTGGCTGATTACATCCCTGGTCATAGTGTACTACGTAGTGTGTATACGTCACTTTAGATTAACTATACATTTTGAGAATGATGCATGACTGTGGCTGGAAAATAATATTTTACACACCATAAGATGGGACAGTGCATCAGACTACAGTAGCTGAATTAGTTCAATCAGGTGCAGTACTTTTTGTGATTGGATCTGTTTTAGTTCAGATCATGTTCTCACCACAAACAAACCGCTCCATGGTTCGTTTGAAAGCGTGCCGAGACCACATCTTCAAGGATGTCTCTGTACGCTTTTTTGGCCCGCTTTGGTGAGCACTCGAGTGCTATTGCTACATTCACACCAAGAGGAAAAATGAACTCTAGTGTGATTCAACCAAACTAAATAAGGCAGGTGTGAAAACACCCTAAACTCCGCCTTCTCAGAAGGTCATCACTGCCTGATTAGCGCCACCTACTGATTCATGCACTATAAATAATGAGACAAAGGCAGGTATGTGTGGATACTAAATGATAAAGATGTTCTGAAGATAAAAAGATGCTGTGTGTTGCCATGTTGTGGAAAATCATACCTTTCTTCTGATCTCAACATTGAGAAAGAGTGGAAGAACTGATTTATGAAGTTCCAAATGTGCCATTAAAGAACTTGCTGTTTTGTTCACTTCATAATATTGCAGATTGGATTGCAAACAACGCACAGTTCGACACTTGTAAATAATAAGTTGTATTTTTATTATATTATTAAAAAAATTTAGCCAAAAGATAATGCAGTGCTGACTGAAACAGATCAAATAGTAATGTCATACTACACAAGTCTGAATAACTGTTTGTATTACCAGTTTACTATTTGTCTGTTATTCCAGAAATGTAGTGAGAATCTAAATGTTTTAATTTAAATGACAGTAGCATCTTTCTATGAAGGATGTATTCTGTCCAACATATGGAGATATGCACAATGGTGGACACACACAGGTCCCTTCAAACTTTGAAAAAGTTGTAAATATGCAAACTGTTAGCAAGTGAATGTTCACACCAGAGTCTAAAGTCCACCTATTATTACACAGTTAATTAGTTTTGATTTAAAAACCATGATAATGTTATAAGAAAACCTCAGGAAACACTTAAAACATAAACAAAAATGTCAGTGGATGACCTCTTTAAGCTCTATGCAAAAAAGCTTAATCATTTTCATCCCTAATTAGCATGCAAGCACATGCGCTGCCTGTGAATTATCGATTATGAAAACACGAGCCGTTATTTCATGCTACAGTGAAGTACTGTATGGTGGTGTTAATCAGTAGAGGACAAGCCACGCCCATTTATTACACTCCATTGAGCTATGCAAATGAAGAGGACATTATGCATAGACATACCGTAAGCTAGTGACAAGCATAATTATGTCGACAAAATAACTTTTTTTGGACAATGAAGAACGAATGAGTTTGAACATAGAAGGGCTTTGTCATATATATATATATAACAGCTTTTTAAAGTCTGTACAAACAGCATGATTTTCTTCTTCTCATTTGCATATAAAGACTGAAGTTATGATGAAGCTTGATGGAGCTTGTGTTATGATCCCCAGAAAATCTATTAATATTATAGGCCTGTCTGGTACATCAGATAATGCTCCTCAAATGGATTTATTAATGTTGCTTAACATACAATGGAGTTCTTATAGTGAGCTGAAGTATTTAGAGACATTTGGTTTGATATTCTAGTGAAAAAATAACTCTCAGGTATAAAGATATTCAAAATGTGTGTTTTTTTTTTTTTTTTTTTTTTTTTTTTACGGATGAAAGGTTTCACAGACCATTGATAAGCAAGTCACACATAATCCAAGATTACTTTGAGTCTGGGAAAGTACACTTTTATGTAAGAAAATAAATGAAGGCAGAAAAAAGTGATGGATGGCTGGATTAATGGATGAATATGTGCCTGAATACAAATCTTGACAGACGTGAGACACATGCTGATGCATATGTACATAAAATGTACAAAATGGGAATAAAAAAAAGAGAGTAAAATAATATACAAAACTGTAAATAAAATAACTAAATTAAACAAATAGTACACGAAATATACAATAGTAAAAATACAAATAGTAAGATAAAAACTAAAATAAAGCAATGAAATATAATAAAATGTCATAAAATGAAAAGTAAAAGTCAAATAAAATATTACTGCTAAGTTAAGCTAAATAAATAACACAACAATTTAATGGAACACAAAAAATAAACAAACAAAATTAAACAATGCACACAAGAAAACAGGAAAAAACATAATAAAATATACAAACTAAAATAAACAAAACAACATAAACCTAAATAAAATACACAATTAAATTAGATAAAAAAGCAAAAAGTAATCAAATGAAACAAAATGAAAATCAAATTTTACAAACTAATGAATAAAATAAAATAAAATAAAATAAAATAAAATAAAATAAAATAAAATAAAATAAAATAAAATAAAATAAAATAAAATAAAATAAAATAGGGCAGCTTGGTCGCCTCACAGCAAGAAGTTCGCTGGTTCGAGCCTTGGCTGGGTCAGTTGGCATTTCTGTGTGGAGTTTGCATGTTCTCCCCATGTTCGCGTCAGTTTCCTCTGGGTGCTCTGATTTCCTTTACAGTCCAAAGACATGTGGTATAGGTGAATTAGCTAAGCTAAAATTGTCTGTAGTGTATGTGTGTGAATGAGTGTGTATGGATGTTTCCTTGTGATGGGTTGCAGCTGGAAAGGCATCTGCTGAGTAGAGCATACCGTATGCTGGATAAGTTGCTGGTTCATTCTGCTGTGGTGACCCCAGATTAATAAAGGGACTAAGTCGAAAAAGAAAATGGATAAAATTGAATTAAATTAAATTAAAATATAGCTCCAAGCAGCAATTATCAGGGCCAAGCAGCCCAGCGGCCACATCATAAACAAGCACGACAACAAGCAACAGAGCAACTGGAAAATTCTATAACTTTTTGGCAGCATGGTCTGAGCCAAATTTGGTGGAAATTGGGTTAATGATCTATGGAAAGTTTAAAACAACAGATTTGTAAATAAATTCAAGATGGTGGACAGGAAGTCATGTCAATTAGGGAATAAATTATATCAATTAAGGAAACAGGAGCAAACATAATAAAATATACAAACTAAAATAAAACAACATTCATTCATTCTCTTTTCGGCTTAGTCCCTTTATTAATTTGGAGTCGCCACAGCGGAATGTAGGGCCAACTTATCCAACACGTTTTTACGCAGCGGATGTCCTTCCAGCCGCAACCCATCTCTCGGAAACATCCACACACACTCATTCACATTCATACACTACGGACAATTTAGCTTACCCAATTCACCTGTACCGCATGTCTTTGGGCTGTGGGGGAAACCAGAGGACCCAGAGGAAACCCACACATGCACAGGGAGAACATGAAAACTCCACACCAAAACGCCAACTGATCCAGCCGAGGCTCAAACCAGTGACCTTCTTGATGTGAGGTGACAGCACTACCTACTGCGCCACTGCGTCGCCACAAAACAACAACAAAAAAATCTAAATAAAATACACAATTAAATTAAAGAGAAAAAAATTGCAAAAAGTAATAAATTAAAATAAAATGAAAATAAAATAAAATATGACAAACTAAGGAATAAAGTATAAAAAAATAGCACTGTATTACTCTCACCCTGATGGAGCAGCTGATGAGGCCATCTCGATTATGAACCTTAAGCACCCTCTCGAAGAGCTGGTTTCTGGCAGTTTCATCCTGAGCGAACTGACCCTCCAGCAGGTCCATCGGTTCAGACACACCACCAGTGAAATCCACCAGAGCATCAGCCGTGTTCCCACCATCCAGTGCTTCATAACAGCCATAGACTCTTGATTGGTACAGAGAAAGACCTCAGCATCACTTTACTTTAAAGTCAGTCTCAGTACAAACCTTTTTGAATTAGCCTGAAGTGTTTACTTGGCATAGGCTTTTTCCACAAGGGCGCTCCAGAACTCATTGCTGTCATTGGAATGGCAGTAAACCAGCTGGTTGTCCACCGTGGGCAGACGGTCATCGATCACTACGTCTACCCATTCGCCAAACCGCCAGAAGCGGAAGTGAAAGATTCCTGCATAAGAATCAGCCTTCTCCGGGTCCCATTCCTGCTCCTTCCAGTCTGGGATAACCTAGAAAACCACACACAGTTCTTCCTATATCATGACATGTAGTGTTTACTACATAGGTCTCAAACTCCTGTAGGGCTGTAGCTCTGCAGTTTTGATCCAACCCTAATTAAACACAGCTGATCCAACTAATCAAGGTGTTCAAGACTAGAGACTATTAAGCAGCTAAACTGTGCAGAGCTGCGGCCCTCCAGGAATTTAGTTTGAGACCATTGGATTACTGAAAGACCACAATACTCTTTTACTATAATTTTTGTCTGCAATACTTTTTTATTATGTAGTTTGATATATCGCCTGATAATAATTATAAACAATTGCTAACATTATATAAAGCAGGCAACTAAAATCAGGACTATATTTCAGATTGTTAATCGTTTATCGTTTTTTAAAATTGAATTATTAGAATTTATTTTTTTTATATATATTTTTTTCTTTGCATTACTTTTACATTTTCTACACATTTATTTTTATTTTAGTTCTTCATTTTACTATTTTTAAAGCAAAATTGTTTATAATTGGCAGCCTCCAAGACAACAACTCCAATAATTGCTTTAAGCATGTTAAAGAGATAATAAAAACAAAGTCATAATTTACTCACTCTTCACTTATTTAAGTTGAAACTTTTGAGTTTCTTACTTCTGTTAAACACAAAATAATATATTTTGAAGAAAGCTGGTGGCTGACAACCACTGACTTCCATTGTATTATTATTTTTTATAACGAAGTCTGTTTAACGAAGAGACGATTTTTTCAGCACATGTCTAAACATATTAGTTTTAATAACTCATTTCTAATAACTGATTTATTTTATCCTTGCCATGATGACAGCAAATAACATTTTACTAGATATTTTTCAAGGCACTACTTTACAGCTTTAAATGATATTAAAAGCCTTAAACAGGTAAATTAGGTTAACTAGGCAGGTTAGGGTAATTAGGCAAGCTATTGTATAACAATGGTTTGTTAGACTATCAAAAAAAATATTGCTTAAAGGGGCTAATAATTTTGACCTTGAAATAGTATTTAAAAAATTAAAAACTGCTTTCATTCCAGCCTAAATAAAACAAATAAGATTTTCTCCAGAAGAAAAAATTTTATCATACTTTGAAAATTTTCTTGCTCTGTTAAAGTGTTTGTAAAGTCGCATCCTTTTGATTTCCTTGCAAACAAATATCCTTCACATACAAATCAGCATAAAGGGAACAACAGGAAATTGTGAAAAAAACCTTTTTTAACCCTTCTTTACAAGTTGTTCAAACACTGTTGGTAAAAAAAGTGATCAATATAACAAAAATTCTCTCACACGCCTGCTTATATATTATATTACAATATTTTAACAGCCGAATATACAATTGTTTTAAGTTAAAGAAGAAATGGACCAAAATAAATACAACCTGAAAAAAGGTAAAACATTTTTTAAAAATGACAACAACTAGTACATTAAAATTGTCAGGGTTCTGCCACTCTGGTCTTGTAAATTCTTGTTTTGGTGGCAGATCTCGGACACTACTCGTGTCTGGTCCTGTTTCTGTCTCTGTGTGCGCGCGCGCCGTCGTGGGTGTACGCAGAGTGTGCGCGCTCCTGCTTGACGCGGCCGCGTGCGCGCTCTGCGTCCCTCAGACGCGTGCGCTCTTGTACTCGTGTTTGTGTTTTCGTCTGTCAGCAGCATGGTGTTTCATTCCCAGCGTCTCAGTCTTGTTGGTTTCGGTTTTGGTCGGCGCTGGGATGAAGCATGCATGCTGCATGTGTGACCGCACGGTGAGTGTTTTCATTCATCGTGTGCTCGTGTCTTGCGTCTTTTGTCAAAGCACGTGGCTCGGTGTTTACGTTGTGGTCACGTGCTTTTGTCGTGTGCTTCAGTGTTGTGTTATGTGAGCACATGGCTTGTATTGTCTCTCTGTGTCATGCGCTCTCCCGTCTATTGTCTTGTCCCACCCACCTTGTTACCTTGTTTGTAATTATTATTTTCACCTGTCCGCCTGTCTGTTTATTGGTTTGTCTTTCCTATTTATTCTCCTAGTGTGCTCTGTTCTGTGCTGGTCCGTTGTTGATTGTTCCCTTCCCTGTTGTATCTGCTGATTTCTAGTCTACAACAGTGGTTTAAAGTATTGTCTTGTCAAGTTCCAAACCTTGTCTAGTTGAGTGTGTAATATGATGTTGTGTTTTTCCCCACGTGGGGAGATTTGAGTTTTGTTTTTGTTTTATTTTTCATTAAACTCTTCATTCTCTGCATTTGGGTCCCTCGCCTCCTCTTCACCACCCCCATACCTTGACAAAAATAAACAATAATGATCATGTTCATGACATTGCTCATCTATTTTAAGTCTGTGGGAACCAAAAGTAGCTGCTTTACTTAAATTCACAGTAAATTACTGGCTAATAATTGCATTACTTTCACAGCAAAATACTGAGTGTAAATTCACAACAAATTACTGCAAGTTAACAGTAGTTTACTGTGATTTTGTTACTTTAAATTACTATGAAATTACAGCCATATAGTGTAACTTCACAGCAGATATTAAAGTCTATTATTGTGATTTCACAGTATCATTATTATTATTATTAAATATATATTTTATTGTAAAGCAGGCTTTCCTCAGCTAGTCATTCTGACATTTACTCTGACTTTGAAATCACTTTAACAGTGTTTGGTTTTAAAAATCAATTACTTTTGTTCCTGTTTATTTTATTAAGTTTTTAGCTAAGCACAAAGTTATGTTCATTAAAAATTATTTCATATTTCCAGGTTAACCTTTTAAAATTAAAAAAAGGTGCAGTGCACCAAAAATGAAAACTTACTTTGACATTCATGTCGTTTTATACCAGGATGATTTTCTTTCAAGTCATTTTTAAAGATGCAACCAAACTGTTTTTGGGGCTGCAATAACATTGTTATTTCTAAAAAGAAAAAAGTGCCACCATCAGCATAAAAGTTAATTTGTATTAATACAAAAAAGTCAATTATAGTTTGAATTCCTATAACTAACATGCAAAAGATATAGCCCTTTTTACAGTAATTTGTTGTTTTATGCTAATTTGATTAACTTCACAATAAAATTCTGAATGAAAGTGATAAGAATGTAATTTACTGTGAAAAAATTAAGGTAACATGTTGTGAAAATCTGATTTTTTTGTGTATGTGTGTGTGTGTATTCCTCCCAAGTCGTTGAACTTTGAATTTATTTGTTGTAGTCAGTTTTACCAGAAAAACAAAAACAATCATCAGAAAATAATAACCTGGCTGGTTAGATTTTATTTTCCTTCTTTAACTTGATATAATAATAATAATAAAATTATTATTAATAATATTAATAATAATAATAATAATAATAACAACAACAACAACAACAACAATTTATTTATTCAATAATACTTTAAAATATTTAACTAAATATTTAATTAAATTTAATTGATAACAAACATTTAAAGATGTTGTTGATTACCTTTAAACTTTAATAATTTAGTTATTTTATTAAAATATTATATTTTAATAAAGTCAGCTATTCTCACACTGTCAATATTAGCTTAGGATCTGAGGATGATTTTTTTCATAAATCATACATTTCAGTTTCTATGCTGTAAGACAATTCCAGAAATGTTGAGATTGTCCAAATGTAATGAGCAAGTATAGCATGAATTGGAGCTGATAGTAGAAACTCAGAAGCTTCTTGTACCTTTTATGTCATCAGGGAAGAACTGCCATTCTACAGCAAAAACGAATAGTCAGATTTTGATTTAAGATTACTACACCAAACTGTTTCTTTCAGCGGATTAACTTGCACAGATTAATTGTTCACTTTAAGACTAACAATACATGCTGGAAAATAAACACAGTAAATTTTGATTTCACATGGACTTTAAAAGCATCATTTTCCCAGAATGTTAAAGACCTCTGTGGGTGTAGGACACCGGGGTGATTTTGGAAGCTGTAAACTGCAGAACTACATCTCTTTCATTCAGTGCGGGTCCTCTGGGACACAACAGAGATTAGATTTCAAGTACACCTCTGCGGTGATTGTTCAAAGTAGTGCAGGTCCATTATCTGAGCTCAGGTACATGCTGAGACACTGACTGCAGGTCAGACCCTCAATTCAGTTCACCTCCGAGCAACCCTATCGTTAGTTAAACGTGAAACAAACACACATGTAGCAAAACCCAGAAGTCTCAAATTCCCCCTTGCAGTAGCCAGGAGCAACAAACATCTAAACAAAAAAAACCCTCTGTGAAATAAGTTGCTTTCAGAGCACAAAGGCTCATTGCAGCTGCAGAAAAACCAAGGACACACAGTAGACGCAAGAAGAAGAAAAAAACAAACAAAAAACGGTAAGTTAAAAAAACAACAACATGTCTCTGGAGTTGACGTTCAATCCTGATGTCCAGCTGACGGAGATGATGCGTCTGCGCGTTCAGTCTCTACAACAACGAGGACAGAAACGTCAAGACGGAGAGCGTCTCCTCAAGTCCAACGAGCACGTCTACAGTCTGGACTTCTCCGAACAGGCCTTGCATTTCACCTGCTGGAACATCCGCATTTCCAGCCCGGGACGCCTGAACATCATCGCCACTTCCCAGCTCTGGACGCCCGACCTCACACACCTGATGACCCGGCAGCTCCTGGAACCCACCGGACTCTTCTGGAGGAGCGCAGACGACGAGAACATCCAGTGTTATGAGGCCGACGCACAGGAGTTTGGTGAAAGGATAGCAGAGCTGGCCAAAGTGCGAAAGGTGATGTATTTCCTGTTCGCCTTTGAAGACGGCTTGAGTCCGGAGAGCGTGGAATGCTCCATTGAATTCCAGACCTCCAAGTGAGAGAAAATGAAGGGTACAACGGCTCTCTTCTGGTCAGTCTGTTCCAGCTTAATGTAGTTGAATATTTTAGAAAATTATTGCAAAATTGGTCAAATTATGAGCAAGTTGTTCTAAGTAAGCTGAATTTGATTTGATTGTTTCAAATCATACAACTATAAATATAAAATACCAAGCTAATAATACACAAATTAATTAAAATGGGTTCCTAAAGACCTATGAAATTAGATATAATGAGGTCTTTAAAAGTTGCATTTCTTTAAAGTTTGACCAGATTTATTTATTTGATTTCTCAAATTTGGCTGCTTTTCTGAATTTGATGAGACTTTAAGGGAGTTATAACGCAATTTAAATGAAACTAATAACTCAGGAATAAATTGAAATGTGTTCGTAAATACTAATATAAATAGAATTGGTTTATATTAATTAATTAAGATGGTCTTGGGCGTTTTTAGCTTTTTAGCTGCTTTTGTGACTTTGTTGATGGATATAACCTACTGTAAATGCAGTTAAAGTTAAAATGTGTTCCTAAATATGTATAAAATTAAATTTAAGTTATAATAGAGTCTTTGGCTTTTTTTTATAAACTTTTTGTCAAATTTAGTTGTTTTAGTGACTTTGGCATGACTGTATTTCAATGCAGGTTAACCCACTATATATTTATACAGTTAAATTCAGAATTATTAGCCCCCCCTGTTTATTTTCCCCCCTAATTTCTGTTTAACGGAGAGAAAATTTGTTCAACACATTTCTAAACAAAATAGTTTTAATAACTCATTTCTAATAACTGATTTATTGTATCTTTGCCATGATGACAGTAAATAATACTTTACTAGATTTTTTTCAAGACACTTCTTTACAGCTTAAAGTGAAATTTAAAGACTTAACTAGGTTAATTAAGTTAACTAAGCTGGTTAGGAAAATTAGGCAAGTTATTGTATACTGATGGCTTGTTCTGTAGACTATCAAAAAAAAAAAATAGCTTAAAGGGATGATCATTTTGTCCCTAAAATGGTGATTAAAAAATGTATAGCTGTTTTTATTCAAGCATTAATAAAACAAATAAGACTTGCCCCAGAAAAAAAATATTATCAGGCATACTGTGAAAATTTCCTTGCTCGGTTAAACATCATTTGGGAAATATTTAAAAAAGAAAAGAAGTCTCAAAGGGGGGCTGATAACTAAATAAATCAATATTATATTGTTATATACCAGTACAATTGGATCTTGTATAATTATAATCATTTTTTGTAGTCTGATTGTCCCTGTTTTTATCTGTAATGAAGATAATGTACTTTAAATCACACTAACTTCTCAAGAAGATCACAGTCATTTTTCCTAAAGACTATGCCTTGAACAGTCATTTTGATGAGCTATACTTGTCTGATTGCTAATGTTTAGTTGTTTTGTGGCTTTAATGGGATTGTAATGGAGTTAACATACTATACATCACACTAATAATTCAAGAAAACCATAATTATTTATGAATAAAGTAAAACATGCACTTTTAATGGTTGTAGTCATTAATCTTTTGAATAATTGATGCAAATATCTGTGCTGGGTTATTAATGCTGTGCCCTTTAGCAGTGGTTCTCAGTTTTCATTTGGTTTGACTTCAAGGTGCCCTAGTTTCACTTGTTTATGAATTTCAGAATAGTCTTTTAAAATAATATTCCTATTTACAATTTTGACCTAATGAAGTATTTATTTTAGCACAACTTTGTATACACTATATATATATATATATATATATACACACACACACACACACACACACACACAGTATATGTATTTTATTTATATGTGTAATATATATTATATGTATTATTTTCTGAAAGTTACACTTATAAAATTACAGACTGAGGTAACACTGCTTTTGTTTTCATATTTCTCATTTAAAATGTAGTTAAAAATTTTGTAATTATATAGGGTATTTTGTAATTTTTTGATTAGTTTTTGTTTTTGTAATATCTTAAATATATCTACAGTATAAAACAAAACAAATTCAAAATTAAAGAAATAATAATAATTCAAACTTCCATGCTAATTAGCTGAAATAAATGAACAAATTAAAATATATTCATTTTACATCATCTACATATTTTATACCAAATAATGTTTATTTTACTTTAATTAATATTTTAATTTATGGCATTAGTTTTAGTTTAAATACAATAACCCTGAATGGGAGTCCTGCATGTTTAAATAAATGCATGAATAAATTAACTAATTAATCGACTTAAAAAAACTGTTGCAGAGGGTACATAGTAATAGTAATTTTTTTGCATGCTTGTTTCGCTTTTTTAAATGATTTTAAGTCATCTTTTGGCCTCACAGTTTGCAATGGAAGACTCTTGAGAAGGGCTGCTGCCCTGGAGTGTGTATCGGTGCTGAGAGCATGTGACTGGGTGGGATAAAAGGATGCTGCAAAGACATGGGGCACAGATAGAGGCATGCACACACTCCCATTTATCAATGCCTGACCCTGCCACAAAAACAAATGACAGGACAGGGGAGAGGAGTCACATGGGAAGGCCCTATAAGTCAAGCCTCTTCATCATGATGTGTGTTTCTAAGGGAGAGTAAACATATCCCCAGGCAGGGGAAAACACCAACCACCCTGAGGAGCATGCAGGCAACTGAAGCTAAATAACTAAGTAACAGCTCACAAAATGTCAACCATTTAGGTGTTATAGGGGACATATTATGTCCATGTTCATAAGATGAATGCATCTCTGATTTACCCAAAAAATATATGTAAAGTTTCAGGTTTTAATATCATTGATCAATGAATATCACAGAAATTTGTCTCTATTTGTGCGTGAAACCCGACAATGTATAAGTGCATGTTCTTTTAAATGCAGATGAGCTGCTGCTTTACAGAAGCCTTAGCAAGCACTTCTGACAGAAGCAACACAACAGATCTCACACAGACGAAATGTAATTCACAGGTATTGTTTTAGTTTATTTATGCATGAAATTTGCATTATACGACGTTGATCTCTTATGTTATGTATTTTCTATCACATAAATTATGGTACATGGTTTCAGCTACATTCATTCTTCCATGGCAGGGCGCCACACTAAAATTCATTCCCGCCACGGCTACATTATAACTTCTCATTCAAAATATTCAGTCGTTATTGTTTTTAATAATGGGATATAATCAAACCAAAACGTATTAAAAGGTAAGTAAATTATAACAGGGCGAACTTTTCTGTAATCGTAGTAGTGCTGTGCGTTATTTGTTTAACACTTTAAAGTGACGTCCTGACTGATTGACAGGTGCGCGATGCGTGAGGCTTGCAAACACTGCGTAGCTTTCAGTTAAGATGAACACAGTCTATGTTCTGGATACGATGACTTTATCTTGCTGGAGTTTATAGCCGTTTCACTTCTATTCCTAGCAAATCAATAAATGTTGGAGACATCCTTGTTACATAAACGCACTAAATCTCAGCAGAGTTTGTTTAAAAGCGTACAAGATTTCTGCTCTTAAGCAGAGTATATTTGAGAGTGTGCAAGAAGTTTTATGCACAAACAGAGGAAATCGGCATGCAAGCAAAGAGATTTGCATGCTAGTATTACATGAATGTGATCTCGACTTGTAATACTGCGCTCACAACATTTGCCATTGAAATAACACCATAGGTAGTTGGTAGATCTGTGTAAAAGGCCTGCCACCACAGCTTGAAAAAAAGTGTTTTTTACAGATATGTTTCTATATAAAATATTATTTTAATTAAACATCAATTATGGGGCTACACGGTGGTGCAGTGGGTAGCATGTTCGTCTCACAGCAAGAAAGTCACTGGTTCGAGCCTCGGCTGCGTCAGTTTTTCTGTGTGGATTTTGCATGTTCTCCCCGTTTTCGTTTGGGTTTCCCTCAAGTGCTCCGGTTTCCCCCACAGTCCAAACACATGCGGTACAGGTGTATTGTGTAGGCTAAATTGTCTGTAGTGTATGTGTGTGAATGTGTCTGTATGGGTGTTTCCCAGTGATGGGTTGCAGCTGGAAGAGCATCTGCTGCGTAAAACACATGCTGGGTAAGTTGGCGGTTCATTCCGCTGTAGAGACCCCAGATTAATAAAGGGACTAAGCTGAAAAGAAAATGAATGAATAAATAAATGAATGAATGGACAACAATTACATTATAATATATTAAACAAAACAACATTCGAGGTAAACCAAACATCTTAAAAAAATCAGGTGAAACGTGGCTAACTTATTTGGAAATGCTAAAATAACACACAAATGTGTTACCATAACCTATCGATCATATGACTTCTACAGTGTTTTTCATACAATACAGCCACAAATTATATACAATAACAAGGAATGTTATGTTATAATATATACTGTAATACATGTTAAATTTTTAAATGAATTTTGAATTTGAATGAACAAAATTGGGCATATATAATTTAATATTAGTTTAGTTGACATTTTTATACAGTTGGATTATTATTAATTAAATTAGGTTATTCGTTCATTCATTTTCCTTCGGCTTAGTCTCTTTATTCATCAGTGGACACCACAGAGGAATGAACCACCAACTTATCCAGCATATGTTATATATACATAGAGGATGCCCTTCCAGCTGCGATCCATCACTGGGAAACACCAACACACTCTAGCTTTAACACACATACACTACGGCCAATTTAGTTTAGTCAATTCACCTATACCGCATGTCTTTGGACTTTTGGGGGAAACTGGAGCACCCTGAGGAAACCCACACAAACTTGGTGAAAACATGCAAACTCCACACAGAAATGCCAACTGACCCAGCCGGGACTCAAACCAACGACCTTTTTGCTGTGAGGTGGCAGTGCTAACCACTAACCCACCATGCCCTAAATATTATTAGTATTATTTTAAAGATATTACTGCTATTTTTTACAGTTACTGTCCCTTGGTTTTTGAAGATGGAAGAGTATCTATATTCTTGGATGCTTTCCTGATTTTGTGAATGAATCACTTCTGGGCATTTCCTCATTTGCGTCTGCACTTATATACAAAAAATCAATGGACATGAAGATGGACTGCAATTTAAACGTTGTTTAGTTAGTCAACTTTGACTCAATAAATCCCTAGCTTTTTCCTATATATTGCAGCATTTTTTCTGCACAGGATAATCTGTGAACATGCAAGAAATACACACATTTGCAAACATCCACCAACTTACTTTCTGCCAGAGTGACTCTCGGGAGGCCAGACTGGAGCAGGCCGCCACAAACCAACAGTTTCCCAGCTGCCCTTGGTGCAAGTCATGGGCACTGATCCCGTCCACAAACAAATGAGGATCGTCACACAGCTCCTGATTAGAGAAACATACCAAAACAGAAAGGCAAATGACAGAGTGAGAAAAAGTGTGAAGAGCAAACATAAATCAGGGGTAAACAACAACAACAAAAAAGGAACACCATGTACAAAAACATAGTAATTTGTCCAAAAATACAGCCGATATTGCTTCATTTTGATTTATGAAAGTAGCAGGAAAAACATAAGAAATACTTAGAAAAAAAGTGTTGGAGACAGAAACAGGACACAGGCTCTTTCAAGAGTTCACACTTAGATATTGCTTGACAGCTGTAAGCAGGTTTGGCATGCTGTCCCGGGAGAGAACCCTGAGCTCGGAGATAGTTGAGCCCAGGGCTCCCGCCAGGTCCATAGAGCATGTGAGGGGAGTACGAGATCAGGTGGTTCTCGAGAGCTCCTCTTTTTGTAAAGGAGAAAAGGAGGAGAAAGGGGTGGATGGGGGGTTTCTTCGGAAAACGAAGATAAGGGAGTAATGTCTAGCTAGGCTACTTATAGTGGGTTAGGATAGATCTGATTGGCTAACTAATGAGTGTAGATAGGTGGCCAGCTGCTGTCAATTATATCACGTGCTCCTCTCGAAATTAGTTTAAAAACTTCACTTAGAAAATTCTGACTTTCATTTTCACTTTCACTTTCATCAACTATAAATCAAACGACTCTTCTTTGCTCTGACAGCATCCAGCACACCTTTTTCACTGACCTCTTCACCACCACTGGGACATTCGACCCAAAAACAACAGAGAGCGACAGAGGAGAGAGATTCTGAGTGACCTAAAAGTAAAGGTCTGGTCTCTTTAAACAGCTGACACACACCGGGCACAGTGACAGCGGCTGAGGGAATGAAGCCACTTTTAGGCTGAAGCTCATTTTTTAATGATCTCTCAGAGTCGCTGACACAAATGAACCCTGAAAACAGACTAAACACATTAATAAGCACCTAACAAACCTTCAATGCCTTGTAAATGCTTAGGGGGATTCTTCTAATGGCAAATTGCTTCAAGAACTTAGTGAGAAGAATACATAGTGAGAAACTGGTCAAATCAAATGACCACAACGATAATGGCAAAGAGATTTTAAATCTGCACTGCAATAATTTAACAGCCTCTTTTAAAACATAATTGAATGACTCTTGATCTAAATAAGTCAGACAAAATTATTGCTATAAAACTGGTGTTGGGCTAAATTAGATTTTAGTAATGTATTTTGTAATTTACAGCTATAATGAATAGATAAATGAATGCAAAGATATTCCCAGTCCAGTCTCATTGGAAATATGTACTACAGACTACATTTTTGTGAAGCGTGAAATATGTTGTCCTGGATATGTTCCAGATGTCAAATTTACTAGAGGGTGCTGTCTACATTTTTGAGAATCTGAGGATTATGATTTGTTGTACTATAGGGTATATGCACTGCTAGGAATTTGTTCTCACACCGATAAACTTCTGGTGAACGGTTAATGTGACTTATTTTAATTTTATAAGGTTCTTTTTACAGCATCGATGTTGTCATGTAATAAAATATAATCAGTTAAATAGACTTCAGCATTTATTTAGTTGATCAAGCATAAAGCGAGATGAAAAGCCCTTTACATGCACATGCCATTCAGGATCAAACTCTATTGTAAGTACTGTAAACTCTGTTGAAAGTACAGTGGTAAAATAAAGGTTTAAATTTTAAAGACATGGAGCAGAAAAAATATAATTTATTGCAGTGCTTCTAGTGCATTCTAAGACCCACTTTCTATGGTATATCAATCAGGCAGTGGAGATCATTGACTTTTAAAGAAAACAGACTTTAAACGCTCTGATTTTGTAACTGCATACAGTTCACCGTAAGATTTTGACTCAGGTTACTGGAAAAATTAAAAGTCCTTCGGCATACTGTACTTCTGTATTTACCCCCATTCAGTTACACGTCCTTCCATAATATGGTGGTGTTTGTTGTGCAGATAATTTAGCATAAACTCATCCCTAAACCCAACCAATATTGTTTTCAAAAGCCAACGTAATGGCAAAGTGCACTGCAGTCACTTAGTTTCTCCTTGATTTTACACTGCTTGCATGTCTTTTGTAGAACCGCACTTCACTAGATTAAAACTCAAGCACTCTGAATGTACAATACTGTGCAAAGTGAGCTACTGAGCAAACTAGCCATGTCAGAAAAGTTGTCCATATGGAGATAGACAGGTGAGGCAAACATATTCGATTACAAGTCATAGACATTCTTAAGTTGTTTTGTTGGATTTATTTGGTCTGCATGAAAAAAATCTTTTAATCATTGATAATATGTCCTTGTAAAAAACATTAGGGTAAAACAAAAGGTTTTTGGCGTCACACTCCCCTGTAGAGTATGTTAAAGTATGTTTCTGTGGTTTTACAAAAATGTAGGCTAAAGGATATGTTTCCAATGAGGCTGTGTCGCTGTAGTGAAGCAAGAAAATCCTTCAGCAACATGCCATTCTTTCCCTGCATTCATCACACAGTCAACCAGCAATTTTCATTCAGGACAATGAAAACGATGAATTAATGAAACTGCCAGAGCAGAGTCATTATCTAAAGCGTATTGAATAATATAAGTCCAATAATACTTATCCAACTTGCTGATGAATGTTTTTGATATCTCAGAGTCCATTTGTAATGACTGAATCAGAGGGTGCATGTGCAAACATATCAGTGAATTTTGGGTGAAAATATGCTGGGAAAAGTAGGTTCATTGTCCACAGTCAATTATGTAGTGATGCATAAAGGACCACTTACTCTGAGGTCACTGCCAAACCAGTGTTTGAATGTTAATAGTTCAACCAGCATAAATCTGGTGTGGAATCTACTTGGTTAAAATGTTTTGTGTCCTTTGTAAAATTTACTATTGATATAAATGAGAATTTGGTGAAGTGCAAAATATGTTGTCCTGGATACGTTTCAGATGTCACATCCACTAGAGGGCGCTGTCTACATTTTTGCTAATCTGAAATACATTACTTGGATTATGTTTTGTTGTACAGTTCAGTTACACGTGTTTCAATGAGAAGGTGGGGTTTGTTGTGCAGATCAACTAGTGTAAACTATTCCCTTAACATAACCAATACTGTTTTCAAAAGCCAACAGCCACTTAGTTTTACCTTGATTTTACACTGTTTTTATCTCTTTTGTGAAACCAAGATTTACTGGATTCAAATCCGAAAACTCTGAATGTACAACACCGTACAATGTGAGCTACTGAGCAAACCGGCCATGTCAGAAAAGTATAGTCCATATGGAGATTGACAGATGAGGCAAACATATTTGATTACAAGTTATAGACAAGTTGATTTGTTGTATTTATCTGATGTTATGCAAAGAACTACATGAAAAAAAATCCTTTAATCATAGATGTGTCCCTGTAAAAATCATTAGTGTAAAAAAGAACAATATTTGTTTCAGACAAAACAGAATTAATACTTATTGGACCTAAATCCTGTACACAGCAAATCTCACAACTCAACCTGCAATTAAAGGGATACAAAATTAGCGTTTGCTCATCTATGAAATATGTGTGTGTCATATTAGACAGCAACCTAACTTCATATCTCCCATGTCACAAAAACTGCCTTCTTTCATCTGAGAAATATCGCTAAGTTATGAAGTATGCAGAAAAGCTAGTCCACGCTTTTATGACATCTTGGCTGAATTACTGTAATGTGCTGTTTGCTGGCTGCCCAGCGTCCTCTATTAACAAACCTCAGCTAGTACAAAATACAGCTGCCAGAGTTCTTACCAGGTCTAGAAAATATGATCATATCAGCAGTTCAAAATCTAGATTACAGACCTATCTTTTTAGTATAGCATACACTCAATGCATCACATAGTGGTATGATGCATGAATGTGCTCCACATATCTCGTTAATATACACTATGAACAGCAGCTACTCTATTTCCACCTGGGGATGCTCATCCTGAGGTCCCCAGAGACTATGCAGCACCACTGATGTGATCCAAGACCAGTGACGAGATGATCCCAAGGTTTCCATAATCCTGGACCAGGCCGTATCCTGAGCAGCAGCTGTGGTGGTCATGGAGGAGTAGAGAGCATGTGACTGATTCCTGTGACGCTCCAGGGACAGACAGGTCTTCAATGACGTCCAGCATTCTCCAACCTTCAGCGCCTAGACTGCAGCTCTGCACAAGCATTTGGCCATAGGAGAAATCATCATGCTCATGCCCAACTGAGCCTGGTTTCTCTCAAGGTTTTTTAATTCTTTACTTTCGCCAGTTGGTGAAGTTTTTTCCTCACCGCCGTTGCCACTGGCTTGCATGGTTCGGGACCATCGATGGATTTGCTCCTCAGTGTTTGGACTCTCAGTATTAATTATTAAACCACACTAAACTGAGCTAAACTTAACTAAACTTAAACTCTGAAAACTGGACTGACATTGTTTAAATTTACCATAATATTCTATGTGAAGCTGCTTCGACAGAATTTACATTGTAAAAGCGCTATAGAAATAAAGGTGAATTGATTTTAATTGAATTTGTTGGTTTCACACTGCCCCATAGCGTTCATTTTTATCTAGAAACTGCAGTCAAATGTTTTTAAATACTTTTTTGTGGTTTTACAAAAATGTAGGCTAAGAAACACATTTCCAGTGAGTCTCATAGCTTGATAACAGAGTGAAGCAAGACGATCTTTTATGTGGCGTTCCTTCCCCGCATTCATCACACAATCAACCAGCAATTTTCATTCAGGACTATGAAAACAATGAATTAATGAAAATGCCAGAGCAGAGTCATTATCTAAACCTTACTGAATTAATGTAAGACAAATAACAATTATAAAACTTACTGACCAATGCTTTTTTTTTTTTTTTTTTTTGATGTTTCAGAGTTCATTTGTAATGACTGATTCAGAGAGTACATGTGCAATCACATTAGTGACTTTTTGGTAAAATTTTGCCCGCAAAGTAGGTTCATTGTCCACAGTCAATAGTGTAGTGATGCATAAAGAACCACTTACTCAGAG